AAACAAAGCATTGCGATGGTCCCAGCGGATGCTAACGCAATGTGATTTCTGCCCAGTGCTCTGAATGTCAATAACCCAAGATTAAGTATACAAGAATCACCATCTCTATTATTCAACACTGAACAATCAGACGAAAACCAGGAAGATTACTCTAAATTACGAAAAACAATATCACAAATCAATAATCTTACAAAATGAATTTCAACGAAGACTTTATCGAAAAACTATCCTTATTAAATCTTGAAAGTTTACCATGCCTAGATCATCTTGAACAATTATTAGTTGAAACTATAGAAAGTATATTCAGAGAACGAACTTATGGAACAATTGAACGAAATGAACTTAATAAGGAAAATCGAAGAATAAGAATGATTAGTGCAATATTTAACGCAGTAAGAGAGATTAAACGAGATATTATAAATTCTGACGAATAAAATGGAAAAAATATACAAGAAAAATATCGAATTATTAAACGCACCAGTACAATATTTAGAAACAGAAAGTAAACTAAGATGCATACAAAATACAATAGAAAAAGAACAAATTAACAATATAATTACAGAATTAAATAAATTAATTACAATAAAAGAAATAAAAATTGAATATTTTAGAAAACATTCATCGAAAGATAATTATAATGGACATTGGCTCCCATTTTTAGAAGAAACGCTAAACCGAATAAAAGAAATATTAAGTTTTTTCGAAAACGAAATAAAGTCTCCTGAATAAAATAATAATAAAATATAATTATTATATTGAAGGACAAAATTGGAATTATCAAAATTTCAAGGTCACCCTTGAAGTCAAAATGACATTTAAAGTCATTTTTGTAAATCCCCCCTTTGAAGATGATTTTATCACCTTTTAGGCATCGGATCACCAACTGTTGGGTTTAATTTGTCAAACTAGAAAATTTCAAGTTTTGCCATCCATTCATACATGATTAGGAGATTATTGTCCAATGTTTTCAAATAATAAAAATATGCATAATGATGCACTGATATATAGATGTTGTGTAATAACTCCATAGCTTTTTACCCAAAAAACTCAGCTGCGTTCATAATTTCATTACCATTTGCTTGGAGACTAGGGACTTTATCATGGACCTTACCGCACCTTAGTATATGCGCCTGATTGGCTGAGAATCGCCTTCAGAGATTTTTCAAGCAATAAAAGGTGTCCATGTGTCACGGAAATCCATTCAGCTAAGCCATCCAAAAGCACTCGCAACGTGGCCTCTATTGAACCAGTGGCCTTCTCGCTTGAATTACCAAATCACCCTTCAGCTTAACTCATTCTTTGCCGGTTAATTTTGAAATTAAATTATAATTACATAATTATATTCAAAAGATTAAGAACTTCACGTAAATATTAACGACACCCAAATCTAATCTATAGATTAATATATTAGTATATTCAAAAGTTTCCGTTTTTTTTTCTCTGGATTGGATTATTATCTTACCATGATATATCAAATTTACTGTGGATTTTATTTGCTTCAGAATTATAATTAATCTTCTTGCAAAAATTATATCATTAACATAATACTTATTACTTAGGGGTAAGACTGGAATTTGGTCGGCAACCGTCTTCCCGAGCCCGCCTAGCTTCCTCTGCTCTCCCTGAAAACCAGAAACAGTTTTATCTGTTGAAATGAGAGAAATGCATTTCTTCGTACCGGCTTCTTCGTCTTCATCGTCCTCTCCGGCGAACCCTTCTTCGTTCTCGCTCTTATTCCTTTCTCCGTCTCAGAATCCCGATAATCTCTATAAATTCCAGTCGAAGATCCACATCCGAACCCATGGAAACTCGGGTCAGTCCCTTCTCTCCCATTCTCCATGCTCGTCCAAGTACTCCTCTCCGGTCGTAGAGAGGTCTCCGTCAGGTGTGTCACCGAACGATGACGTTCGTCCGGAGGGAGTTCTCGTGGTTCGCCGACCTGTTCTGGAGAATTCCGGAGAGGAGCCAGTCGAGGATGAGAAGACTACTTCGCCGGCTAGGATAGATTCAAGTCTGAGCGAGATGGCGAGGAAGATGCCGGTGTTTGAGCCGAAGAGATCGGAGTCATCGTCGGAGGCAGCGGGTACCAGGGTTCAGGAGAAGCCGCTTCTGGTGAACCTGGATTTGGCGTTGTATAGAGCTAAGGTTCTAACGAGGAATTACAAATACAAAGAAGCGGAGAAGATTCTGGAGAAGGTATCTCTATGTTTCCGCTTTGAACACTCAAATTTTGTTTGTGGGTTTGATAGTGATTCTTGCAAGTTCCCTGGATAATTTGTAATCTCTGAATTGACTTGTGAAACAAGGCATAAGTAGATTGCGTCCTGTACTGGGTAAATGTTAAATCATTCTAAGACATACTTATCCCGAGACAGAGAATCTGAACGTCTGTGTTTGGTTTGAAGTGCATATCCATCTGGCCGGAGGATGGAAGACCGTACGTGGCGTTGGGGAAGATACTGAGCAAACAGTCAAGGATGGCTGATGCGAGAACCGTGTATGAGACCGGATGTCAAGCCACCCAAGGAGAAAATCCCTTCATTTGGCAGGTTTACACAGACGATGATCAGGAACATGTTACAATGCTGCATTTGTTGTTGTTTTTTTCATAGATCTCATTGTTTTCATCCCTACCAATGATTGTGTATTCTATTTGTGACAGTGCTGGGCTGTGTTGGAAAACAAACTGGGTAACGTAAGAAGAGCCAGAGAGTTGTTTGATGCAGCCACTGTGGCCGACAAGAAGCATGTAGCAGCCTGGCATGGTTGGGCAAACCTGGAGATAAAACAAGGGAATATCAAGAAAGCAAGGCATCTACTCACCAAAGGCCTCAAGTTTTGCGGCCGAAACGAGTATATCTACCAGACTCTTGCCTTGTTGGAGGCCAGAGCTAATCGGTACGAGCAAGCAAGGTACTTGTTCAAGCAGGCCACCAACTGCAATCCAAAGAGTTGTGCCAGTTGGTTGGTAAGTCTTTTGCATCATTTATGTTTTTTCGGCTAGTCATTATCAAAGAGAGGGAAAGATGTATTTCCAAACAGGACGGTATCAATATATTACATCCATGGCTAGAATTCTTCCTAAGGAGCTGGTTAATTAGAGGAGAATCTCAGGAGAGTGTCATAGGCTCTGATGCCATCCTAAATTCATGTTGGTTGTTCATCATGCCTCGTTCTCAGTAACTCATGCTGGCCTGTTCTGGTTATCTTTCCAGCTATCCTGACTTTCCCACCGGCTTTGATTCTGATATGAAATGCAAACAAGTAAAGAACTCAGCCTGGCTCGTTCTCGTGCTACTTCAGTCCTGATTAGCCTGTTGTTAGAGTTCACCTTTCAGTGGTAGCTTGTAAGGGGAGGGTGTCTATATAAAGCCATCAATAGTGAATAAACTTCTCTTTCCATTCTGTATCTTCTTTTTCTGGAACAGGCGTGGGCACAGCTGGAAGTTCAACAGGAAAATTATACATCTGCTAGAAGGCTTTTCGAGGTATATTTCGAATGCTAGTTACCTTTTTTTTCTATTGTAGCAGAATTGAATTAAACTGATGAGTGCATACCTGAAATATGTTAACTGAGAGTTCAGAAATTAGGATCTGCATCTCCGGGCTCTTCATATGACTTTGCTTGTACAGAAAGCTGTTCAGGCAAGCCCCAAGAATAGGTTTACATGGCATGTATGGGGGGTGTTTGAAGCTGGAGTAGGCAACGTTGACCGTGGAAGGAAGCTTCTGAAGATTGGTCACTCGTTAAATCCGAGAGACCCTGTTCTTCTTCAGTCCCTTGCCTTGTTGGAATACAAACACTCGACTGCTAATAGAGCACGGGCTTTATTCAGACGAGCATCAGAAATTGATCCACGGCATCAACCTGTCTGGATTGTAAGTGATCCATAGTGCTCACTAGGTTTGGTTTTGCTTATCTTTCTGGATGTTATTTTCTGTTAAACTGGAAACTAAATTGGCCAGTGTATTTGGTTGTCATTTTAATATTTTCTGGAAGATGGAGTGACTGGGTATAGCATGTTTTGGTTAGGCTTGGGGTTGGATGGAATGGAAGGAAGGAAACATGTCAGCGGCTAGAGAACTATACCAAAGAGCTCTCTCCATTGACACGGCCACAGAAAGCGCTGCCCGTTGTCTACAGGTAACAATGGAAACCTACACTGTGTTGTGTCAGCTGAAGAAGACCTGTTAAATCTTTCTTCTATCAAAGGCTTAGTGAAGAACTTTTTTCTCTTTAAATCTTTCTCCTGAACTCGTTAACTCCATCACATAGATCAAAGATAATGCAAATTTTAGACCAGAATTGTAATAAATTCAATGCTTTTTCTTTCTTTTTTCCCTTATGACAGGCATGGGGAGTTTTAGAGCAGAGAGCTGGGAACCTCTCAGCAGCAAGGAGATTGTTTAGATCCTCACTGAACATTAACTCCCAAAGCTACGTTACATGGATGACCTGGGCTCAGCTTGAGGAGGATCAAGGTAACTCCGTTCGCGCCGAGGAAATCCGCAACCTTTATTTCCAACAGGTAAATCATTTTCTAAAACTTGTTTAATTTTTATCTCTTTACGATCAACTTCGAGTATTGTTTCTTCAATGACTTCCTAAGTTGAGATATGGTTCTTGTTAGCTTGTTAAGTTATGCTTTAGCTGACAAGTTTTTTTTTGCTAAAAACAGCGAACAGAGATTGTGGACGACGCGTCGTGGGTAAGTGGATTCTTAGACATATTAGACCCGGCCCTCGACAGCATCAAACGTCTCTTGAACTTTGGCCAGAATGGCGGCAACTCCTACCGCCAATCTGATACTCTCAGAAACGTAGAGATCCAATCCGACGAGCAGACAGGCCGTGAAAACACGGATACTGGAAGTGGTTTCGATCTTGATTCGTTTATTCGTGGGAAACTCTCGCTTGATCCATTGAAGCTGGAGGTTGATATGGATTTTTCTCCAGGGAGAAGGCCACCTCCAAGGTGGGTGAAACGTACGAGTACCACCTGATAAAGTTGAGGGTCATTGTGTTACCAAATTCAGAGTTGAGGGTCATTGTGTATTTTTTAGAAAATATCCATCGTAAATTTGTAATATTGTATAATTAACAAATCACAAGTGCTTGTACCAAACTACAGAAGAAGAAAAAAAACAATCAGTAAGTGCGAATACTATTGAAAACGAGGGTTGTTGTGTAATTTTGGAACGTTCAGGTGATCGCCCGGAAGGTGCAACAAATGCAAAAGATCATAAAATATGGGGTCAGTGAGTAATTGTCTGAACTAAAGGGTATTTGTGTGAATAAACCAAAGAAATACTGACCAGGGGGAGCAATGGAGACCGAACCGGTCTCGCCACCCCCGCTATAAAGAAATTTGAACTCGGCAATGTCCGACAGACGCGGCAATTTTCAGTGGTGGCGACTCTAGGGTTTCATTCTGAGTCTTAGTAGAAGAGATTCGAGCTCCAATTGAAGTTAGAAACGGAGATTCGTTGATGGAACTCGAAGAAGTAGAAGAAGATACGTTTTTGGCTTTCATCGAGTACGCAAGAACAGTGATCGCGCCGCATAAAGACGAGGATGACGAGGAAGTGGAGGATAGGCAGATGAAGAAAGAATCGACCGGTACCACGGCTGAAATGGACAGTCCCGGTTGGGGATGGATTGCGTCGCGTATCTTGAAGACATGTATCGCTTATTCAAGCGGTGTCACTGCCGCGATTTTGCTGTCCGAACTCTCTCAGGTACTGCCTCTATTTTCGTCTTAGCCCCACCTTGTTTTTTTATTGATCAATGCGGTCGAAGTAGTTGTTGGCAAATCCAATTTTGATGAGGATATGCTCTTATTTTTCCCATATAGTTGCGGGGAATTCCGATTTTGATGTGCAAACAGTTCTGTGCATTGTCCTTTTCGTTTTGGCATAATGTATGACCCATTTGGTTTCTTACAAGTACTAGATTAAGAGAAACAATTTCTGTTCTTGAGATGTTGTAGTTAATGAAAGAGAAATGATCAATGTGATATGATTTGCTATATAGTTTTGGCTTTGTATCCCTGGGAAGATTTATACATTTATTGATAATAGATGTTGTTTATACGTGGACTCTCAAATGTTTTGAAGGCCTGGCATGAACAAAACAAAGCAGGAGCCAGAAAGAAGAGACCGGAACTGATAGATCAGCTGAAGACGAATCATCGAAGAAGAAAACTCGCCAATTCCGTCACAATTGATTCTATATTTGAGAAGAATTTTTTATCATTGAACAGTGTTTTGGAAGCTGTTGTTATTGAAGCCTATGTTCTTCCTGGTATCTACAGAATCATTACAAGATTTTTGCTTTTATTTGCATTGTGCCAAAGAGGTTTTAAATCCAAAGTAGCTCTCTTGTTTCAGGTACAAATATCTACATGCTTACATTAGGGGACTTTTGGAGCTCTTACACAATTGATCTCTATCTGCACCGAAGGTATGCTTAATCTCTTAATCGGAATTACAATATATGCATGTTCTTTATACATGAAAAAGAGGATGCTTATCAGTTTGAAATTCCTCGTATAGATATTATGAGCTGGTGGAAGCACCAAACGGGGTTTTGAGTAAAGGCAGAGAGGTTTTTCTTACTGGATGTTATCTCCGTACTGCTAGAGAAGGATGTGGCATTCCACGGTTACTTCCAACCGAGTATCTTGTCATATTGCTAGATGAGGTTATGATCTATTTCATTCTGTTCATTTAATATTTGATCTAAAGAGAGTTTAGAACTTCACATCTTGCAATTTGCCCTTCTAACTTTTCGCATCATTCATATGAAGTTTTGCATAGAAAGGAATTATTTTGCCTTTCTCTGAGTGTAGCAATATTTTCCAAAATGCCAGGACCATGACGATGATGCAATCCTCATAGCAGCTCAATTTTGTTCGGATACTTTCTCCTCCGTTTCCCTTGATGCATTCAACAATGGAACTTCATACTCATTATATGCCAGGTAAGAAAAGCATATGTGCATGTAATATTCACTTAATGTTGGTCTTGGGAAACAGGGAAAGTAAATCATGTGTTACCTTCGTAATTGATACGTTTTCAGACAAAACCAGTAGCAGTGGTTAGATTCATCTGGTAAGAAACTAACGGAGGTGATACTGCATTATCATTCCGAATGTTTAGACTTCATGAAAGAATGTGAATAAAAGTTTGATGAAGAATATGAGTGGTTACCAATAGTTAATGTCTAGTTTCCATTTATTGTGAAGCAATAATTGATTCTTTTTCTCCCTGTATGAGAGCAGGATTGAATCTATAGGCCCTGTGGAAGATAAAGTCAAGTTTAGTACTGCACAGAGAAAGCAAATTACACTTGTTGATAACGATGGTGTTAGGTTAAAATTCGTGTTGTGGGGTGAGCAGGTCCTCCTGGCTAATCTTTTCAGGTAAACTCCTGGTAGGCTACTTTGACATTTGCCCTTTCTATCAATTTTTTTTCTTATAAAGGTTCTTTTGCAGTGTAGGAAGTATGCTTGGGCTTGAGAGGCCTTACATTTCTAGTCCCGAAGAGTGTGCCATGGAAGGGAATGATGACTTCTGCCTTGAATATGGCAGTGCGACCCATCTATACCTAGTGCCATCAAGTCATCAAGAGGAACATGTAGGATGACTTCTTATCTCTTCTCTGCGTTGGATTTTTGGTATAAAGAGTGTGGAGTGAGTTCTTCTTCATTTACACAGGTTTGTGTAGCATTGTCCCAAAATCGATGTCAAGGATCTAGGCTTCTTGGTTCAGCAGATCCTAGTCAGGGCCTTGGGGTTTCACAGGTGACATTGCCTCGTGACTCTGAAGGGTCAATTGACTTCAGCCATTATCCTTTTCGGGTGAGCAATATCTTATGATCCAAGTGTGAGTTAATTGATGGCTCATAAATCTAAATTTTGTTCATAGTATCATCTTTCACCGAAATATACTGATTTATAAACATAGAAACTGATGAAAACGAGTTGACAGGCGAATAATCATTATCATTCATTGTAAGCCCAGTTCTGGGCAATGCAACTATCTCAGAACTATTGTTTGTGTGAAGTTCTGCTGTCAGCTATTTCTCACTATAACATTAGGTCCTTGTTTGAAGTTCTGCAGACTCTTGTAGCTGATCTTCAAGACAAAATGACTGGCATCAGCCTCTATGGTGTTATAGCAGACATCTACTCTGATCTAAAAGCCTCAGGAGTTATCTTCTCTTTGAAAATAGAGGACACAACGGGAGCAATATGGGCAAGGCTACATTTTACATGCTCTTGGTATAGAAGTATTGCATAGTTTCTGCACTGATTTTATCTTCCTTAAGACCTTGAATGTTCTGTTCTTTTATGATCTGTAAGTTTTGTGTTTTTTCAGGTCGCTCGGAAGGTTAGGAGTAGGCCATGTGGTGTATGTGTCTGGGTTATCTTGCAAAAGAATAAAGCAGAATAGGTGAGCATCTCCAACATTTTAGCTGTTTTCATTGAACTTAAATGTTTGGATCAGTTTCCGCTACATATGAAGAGAAAATGCTGGTTTATTGTTGTATGTATCCTAGATTTCTTCATACTGATATAAAGCTGCTCTTGTAAAGTCCGGACAGGAGCTGTGTTGATATGTTGTGATCTTATTATGACCAAGTATTAGACTAGCTAGGTTTATTCATGGACTTTGTGATAACCATAGGCTCTAAGAATTCATTTACAGGAAGACATGGTTGTTTAGTTTGAATATGGCGGCTTCCAAATGTTTTTTTTTGGTTGAACAGCCTTGAAGTGATATGGCATGAGAAGGATGATAAAGCTTCCTTCATCAACCTAAGCTGTTTACCTGCATTTCTGACATCGTCTTGTCTTCACAAGATCTTGACCCTTTCTGATCTATCAAGACAGAGGAGATCAATCATTAACGTACGCCACTATTTCCTTTCCTCCTAGTAGAACTATGCATGTTCTTGCCTTCTTGGTATGCTTAGTCTTGTCTATTGTGGACAATTTCAAAACACAGGAACACCTACCTTAACCAATTGTTTTTGGAGAATGTATATGGGGCTGGGATCCAACTGTAGATTTCTTTTTTTCTTACATCATGACAGATTTGTCGGGTGAGGATTGATCAAATATACCAATGCCATATCAGCACAAGATTTTCACACAGCGTCTGTGGCCATTTCACGGAAGAAGCTGAAGGAGGAGGAGGTCACAAGTGCCAGTTCTGCCAGATGAGCTGTAACAACGGAGATATAGTGAGAACCTTTCACCTTAAGACAACGATTGCGGACGAAAGAGGGAAAATGATGGCATGGTGTACGGGTCAGACAGCAGTCACCATTCTTCAAATATCAGCCGACGAATTCTGTGATCTCCCCGAGGTATGGTATGAAACTGTCTTTGTTGATATCGGTTATGGGAATAGAATAAGTAAAGAGTGAGAGTGGGAATGTGGAGCAGGACGATCAGCTGATGTACCCTTCGTCTCTGGAGAATGAGTCGTTCCTTGTGGCCTTGGCCCAAACTAACGCTGTCGGCTGGGAGATCACCCCCCCCCCCCCCCCAAGGTAAAATTTTTGTACGGATCATCGGTAAACTGACTGCTGGCTAGCCTTTTTACCGCTCTCTCTTTTTACCAAAGTCGTCTTGACAACAGTTTGGACGTGGTTTGATGTCCTGTTTCAAACCCATCCATATGTTTTTATATATGGGAAGATGATTTATGCCTTTAATTGAATTGGTCCTAAAATCCAGTTATTCTTACTCCTATATATATTAATAGAACGTATGTTTTTAAGTCCGCAAGTAGTTTCAAGAGCCAATCCAAAGCCCGTTAGAAGAATTGACAACGTAAAAATATTAAAATAACAACAATGACGACATGTTTTTTTTTTTGACAATTTCTGGTAATACTAAAATAAAAAGGAAAAAAAATCGAAATCCAACGGTGAAATGGTCGTCTCCATGGATAATTGTGAGCCGTTGATTTCTTCTCCCTCCCTCCAGCCCCGCCCATCGATATATACATTATTCGATATCTCTAGTGTTGTATTCGACACGAGAGAGAGAAAATGGAGGAGAGCGGTGGACGAAGGGTCGGCGTGGCGGTGGATTTCTCGGAGTGTAGCAGAAAGGCTCTGAGTTGGGCGGTGGAGAACGTCGTTCGCGACGGTGATCATCTGATTCTTATCACCGTCCGTCCTGAAATGTACTACGAGGGCGGCGAGATGCAGCTCTGGGAGGCCACCGGAACACGTACCTCCCCCTCCCTCCCCC